AAAATCTAGTTTATGAGGTTGGCTGATGAGCTCCCTCAGTAACAGGTGGTGCTGATAACACCAGGGTCAAGGGTTCAGATCCCTGCACTGGCCAGCCACCCAAAACAAAACAAAGCAAAAAAATCCAGTTTATGATAGAAATGTTAGCCAACTCAGCAGCCTCTTTTGGAAAAGGAAGAAGTCCTGTCTTTCACCAGAGTTTAAACCACAGCACGTTCCCACAGAGGCTCTGCATTTGAGGTGATGCATTTACGACGTGAAAGCAGGGGGCAGTCTCCGTGCCCTGGAAGTGAGGCTGACGTCACAGTGTGGGAGAGTGCAGAAGCCAGGAAGGAGCAAAATCACATCCTGCGCTGTACTCCTTCTATTCACAACAAAGATGTAAAAGCCCTCCAGTTCCTCAGGTTGTTTTCAGAGCCAGACAAAGCACTTAACCATGCTTAAGTCTGTGCTTGGGGTGCGTCAGTGGAGTGTGTCCTGGGGCCCCTGACTCTGCCAGGTTATTCCTGCTCTCTCTGCCATTGTTGATAAACCCAACAAAAAGCAAATTCTGTGTCCCTGCATGGGATCTGGGGCCCTGGAAACTTGTAGAATAGCCTGAGACAGAATCTGAGAGATGGTGGCAACCCGAGGAATGGGGAGTTTATGAAGCAGGGCTGCAGGCTGAGGAAGCCTGGGAGTCTCCCTCCTGCCACTGTCTACACAGAGTCCTGGGTCTTCCTTCCCTTCCTCAGCTCTGTCCTGCCCCAGGTCACCCAGGTGGTAGCATTGTCCTGGTCTCTGCAGGGTGCCCTCACNCTGTCCTGCCCCAGGTCACCCAGGTGGTAGCATTGTCCTGGTCTCTGCAGGGTGCCCTCACGTGGCCTTACCCCTGTGTCTCTGTCAAGTCTCCCTCTCCTTTCTCTTATAAGGACCCCAATCATTGGATTTGGGGCCCACCCTAAAACCAGGATGATCTCATCCCAAGATTATTAACGACATTCACAAAGACCCCGTTTCCAAATAAGGTCACAAGACCAGGGGTTAGGACTTGGAACTATCTTTTGGGAGGATACTATACAATCCATTACATCCAGTTTAGTATAAAAACATTTGTCTTTCTTTTGGAGCCCTCTATATGAATTTCTAATGTGGCTACTTATACATAAAGAAGATGATCCTAAACAGATTGCATTGCCTGGCAAAGTGATAAATGATGCATAGATAGATAATTGATAGATGGATGGATAGATAGATAAGTGATTGATAGATAGATAGACAGAGATAGATGGATGGACAGATAGATATGTAGATGACAGATGGATGGATATGGATAGATGATTGATAGATGGATGATGACGGATGGTGTATTAGTTCATTTTCTGTTGCTTATAACAGAATACCTGAAACTAGGTAATTTGTAAACAATTCATTTCTTACAGTTTCAGAGGCTGGGAAGTTCAAGGTTGAGAGCGTGCATCTGGTGAGGGCCTTCTTTCCCGTGGGGACTTCCTACAGAGTCCTGTGGCGACACAGGTCCCTACTGCATGGCAAGGGCTGAGCAAGCACATTTTCATGTGCTTTCTTCTTCTCCTTATGAAGCTCCCAGTCTACTCCTGATAACCCGCTAAACCATGAACTCATTAATCTATGAATGAATGAATCCATTCATGGTAACATGGTCCTCACGATCCAACCACCTCCTGGAGGCCTCACCTTTCAAACACCATAGTCGGATTTCCCTCCCCTTAATACTGTTGCAATGAGGAATGGCCTTACCCCTGTGTCTCTGTCAAGTCTCCCTCTCCTTTCTCTTATAAGGACCCCAATCATTGGATTTGGGGCCCACCCTAAAACAGGATGATCTCATCCCAAGATTATTAACGACATTCACAAAGACCCCATTTCCAAATAAGGTCACAAGACCAGGGGTTAGGACTTGGAACTATCTTTTGGGAGGATATTATACAATCCATTACATCCAGTTTAGTATAAAAACATTTGTCTTTCTTTTGGAGCCCTCTATATGAATTTCTAATGTGGCTACTTATACATAAAGAAGATGATCCTAAACAGATTGCATTGCCTGGCAAAGTGATAAATGATGCATAGATAGATAATTGATAGATGGATGGATAGATAGATAAGTGATTGATAGATGGATAGACAGAGATAGATGGATGGACAGATAGATATGTAGATGACAGATGGATGGATATGGATAGATGATTGATAGATGGATGATGACAGATGGTGTATTAGTTCATTTTCTGTTGCTTATAACAGAATACCTGAAACTAGGTAATTTGTAAACAATTCATTTCTTACAGTTTCGGAGGCTGGGAAGTTCAAGGTTGAGAGCGTGCATCTGGTGAGGGCCTTCTTTCCCGTGGGGACTTCCTACAGAGTCCTGTGGCGACACAGGTCCCTACTGCATGGCAAGGGCTGAGCAAGCACATTTTCATGTGCTTTCTTCTTCTCCTTATGAAGCTCCCAGTCTACTCCTGATAACCCGCTAAACCATGAACTCATTAATCTATGAATGAATGAATCCATTCATGGTAACATGGTCCTCACGATCCAACCACCTCCTGAAGGCCTCACCTTTCAAACACCATAGTCGGATTTCCCTCCCCTTAATACTGTTGCAATGAGGACCAAGCTCCAATGTGAGCTTGACAGGAAATTCAAACCACAGAAGAGGGATACATAGATGAATGGTTGAGAGGTGAATAGACAGACAGACAGATAGATAGGTAGGGATAGATTTGGCAAAACATTGCTTTTAGTAGAATGTAGCTAGTTCCAGACTACTCTGATTCCTTCCAGTAGGAGACTCACAAAAGGCTTACCTACAATGCAATAGCCTCATGCTGAAAACGTGAGCAGCTTCTTGGTGTAGTTTATGGAAACCTTTCAAACTTACATCAGTGGGCTTGCTGCCTTGACTGGTTCCTTGAATGTAGTCTCATCTCACATTTCACTTTTGTCTAATTTTGAGTGCACATCTGTGTCTTCTCAATGCTACCAACACTGACTGCTTCTGTCATTTTAGTTTAAACCATCCACAGCACTGGTTTATTAAAAAAAAAAAAAATTCCAGAAAATCTATTCTCTAAGTGAGAGGGCTTTTCTAGTAAGTGAATAGCACAGTTTCTACTAGTACAAAGTATGGAAAAATTGGTATTAATGTAAAACTTTAAACAATTTTCAAATATCTTTTTTGCAGTCTTTTTTGAAAATACCTTACTACATGAAATGAAAATAAATGCCACACCAGAGGAGGAGGAATGTTGGAGTATATCACACATAGTTTGAATCAAACATAATTAATGAATGATCATTATTCTTTCAGGTTTAAAAATATGTGGACTTTTAAAATTCTCATGTGTACATGAGAGGTCAATTGCGTGTGTGTGTGTGTGTGTGTGTGTGTTATATTTTGCTAAACAAACCAGACAAACAAGCAAAATGAGTAGCCCTGCAGTGTTCTTTTCTTTGCATTTATCTGTCAGTAAGTTACTATCTGTGTGAAACACACCTTTTCTATTTAGCTCTTCTGTTATAAGAGGATTCATTCAAGACTATTTCATTATATTTAAATTATTTACATCATAGGATTGATAAAATGATGCCAAGACCAAAAAGACTCTTTGTCAGTAAATGGGACTCTCCATTTCTACTATGTTAATAGTAACTAGATTTTTTAAATGTTATATTTTAATACATTATAAAGCATGAACACATACGTCTCTACTATCAGGCAGTATCTTAATTAAATGGTATCAGAATGAACTTTTGTCTGTGTATAATGGCATTGTCTCAATACAATGCAATGCTAAATGAAGTTCATGTTTTATAATGATTACTTAATTATATCATTTGTGGTAAGGTAAAAACTGATTTAAAATTACTAAAAGCAAAGTGCCACAAATGAACACTATTATTTATGTAAATCATGAAAGAATACATTCTCTCTACTAATTTGTCATTTGTCATTTTTCATTTATTTACCATTTATATTCTATTACACCTCTTTTCAAAAAAAATAATTCAAGCCATCTTTTATTAACATAACTCTGCAAGAAGCTTTCATGACGTTTTGACTTTGAAGCCTCCAATATAGCTGGTTTCCCTGTTCCTGAGGCTGGTCTTTCCTTTCCGAATTCTTTGCAAATCTGTGTTAGAGGTTGACTGAAAGATATTTCGGGGGAAATGGAAGGCTTTGTAGGGAGGGTGGTAATTCTGTGATTCTGTTTGGGGGTTCTTTTTTGGTTTCATTTTGTTCTTTTTATTTTCTCTTTAAAACCTCCACTTTCTGGCAGGACAAGATGCCTATTGTTTCTTTACCTCTGTGTCCTCTTGTAACAGAATGAATATTACTGTAGGTTAGACTTCTTATGGAAGAACAAGTTCAAAAAAGAGCGGGAGGAGATAGAAACCATGGAGAACCTGAACCGTGTGCTGCTGGAGAACGTGCTTCCGGCGCACGTGGCCGAGCACTTCCTGGCCAGGAGCCTGAAGAATGAGGTAGGAGGACACGGGGGGCAAGGGTGGGGCTGGGGATGAGGCTGGGACACGGCCACGACCCAGGTGAAGGCTAAAAGCTTTGGCACTGAGTGGACCCCTGAGTGTTCAAAATGGCCAAGATTAGCCTGAGTTTTTCAGCTTTTGATAAGATATTCATTGGTTGTAGAGATGCCAACTGAGTATAGTAACCTAGAATCACCTGGGAAAGTCTGAGCGTGGAGTTGATTCATTATTAAAGGTTTCTTTCTCAATCATGTAAAGGTCTGAATGTGCATTATGAGGCACTGGGGTACCAAATATGCCCCCAAAGTGCACTTTCCTCTCTCCCAGTGTGGGAGGATGCCTTTCTTACCAGTGTGTGGTAGAAGCAACCTACCTCTTGTCAGGGTCTTAGAATTTCAAATATGTGAGAGAGACTGTGAGAACCACAGGATTAAGGAGTTATCCACACAAGAGCAGACTGAAATTGAGTCCTTCCATTTGAATGGATGAAGTGGGAGTTTCATGGAACGTTTTATAGGAATGAATATTTAGCTACAGTTGTAAAGACTAGGGTGTCATTTAAATGCTGAAATGGCTTATAAAATGAAATGTCATGCGATTTCTTTAATATTGCTGAATTGCAAGAGAAAGCAGATGTATCTACAGTTGGACTTAAGAAACATGTATCTCAACACCCACGGTATGCAAAGGCCCATGCTCAGTACTGTGGAGTTTCAGAGATGTCTGAGGAGCAATCCCTGTTCTTAGGAAATTTTCACTGAGGTTTGCGAGGGGTGGGTGAGAAGCAGATGGATGAATTTGTTCATAGGTAAACTCGATCCCATGATACTAGAGTACAAAGCAGCCTCAGGTGAGAAGGCTGGGAACAGTATTTTTCTGTAGCATATTTAAAGTTGACATTAAAAGAAAAGTGCCAGGTGGCAGGGGTGGTGCCTGACATTTTCACCGTCATCTTCCTAGAAGCCATTCCAGGATCTCACAGCGAATCTGGTTGACTGTGGACCATTCGCTTTCCTATTTCTTCTCCTGGTGTTTTTACACTCAGTAGGTTATTCAGCACCCTGTTTTCCTATTGACTACAGGTAATGAGATGACTACATCTATTAAAGAACCATCTGTTTTTGTTAGCAGTAAAGTGGCCTCTTTATGTCTAAATGTCTGGCTTTTGAGGTCGAGCATGTACCTCAAGTTGCCTCTGCCCCACAGCTGAGCTGGTGCTGACCTTGGATCAGAGATGAATGGGACAGAGGTGGCCCCACTCTTCTGGGCTCCTCCTGGGGACAGGATCCGGTTACTTCCTAGGACACTGGCAGTGAAAATGTAGGAGTCTAGGAGGGCTGCCATGACGAAGTGACTTCTGAATCTGAAAAGAAAGTGCTAAACTCTAGCTGGGAGATGGGAGCCAGGGAGGAAGAGGCACAGGGAGAGAACACTCCGGGCTCCAAAGGGCTCCTTCTCCCGAGGCACCAGGAGAGTACCTGAAAAGAGCCTACAGGCAGACACAAGGGAAGATGCATTTGGGGTGAGCTGATAGGAGCATCCCTCCCCAGAGCTAGAGGAAGGCCCCCAAGCTGGAGAAGCTCTGTGACACTCTGTGACGAGCACGGAAGACCCGGCCCAGGCCCCAGGCTCAGCGGCACAGGCCTTGCAGCCCCTCCTGCGCCCCTGACGGTCTCCGTGGGCCAGACCACCAGAGGCAGCAGGTTCTCAGTGTCCTTCCCATCTTCTTGGCTTATTCTAAGCAAGCATCAGGGCACAGTTGTCCCTTTGGGAATGATAAGGAAGGGCAGGGTGGGGATGAATGAAACCAGAGCCACACCGCGTGGGCTCCCCTCTTAGTCTCGACGTTGTCTTCTACTGGGAACTTGAGCGGTTACCTCCCAGGTCTGAGTCTACCTTTCCTGCACCTTGTGAGGGGCGCCCGCAAGTGGCACTGTGTCTCCTGCTGGGAGGCGGGCGATGCCGAAGCAGGGCCCCAGCGCCGGTGCCATAGCTCACAACGACTCCTCCATTTGCTGAGTGGCCCTACTGTGTGCAGGGCGGGGACCTTCGTGCCACTGTCCTGTGTGCCTGATGGTGAGGCGATGTTTCCCACCAAGTCTCCTGAAGAGTGCTGCTATAGCGTCTGTCCCCTTCACGGTGGAGGGTGGCTCCGTGGGGAAGGGCTGCATAGTGGGGCAGACGGCACAGCCTGCAGGAGCCCGCAGCAGGGAGTCAGGAGCCCGGGCTGAGCTCACCCCGGCTGTGGCCCTTCCTCTCTGTGCGGGCAGCTGGGTAACTTCCCAGGAACAAGGTGGGAGCCGGCACACTTGGATAAAACTAGCTCTGTGCTTTGTTTCCTCACTTGTTAAATAAAGTGGGGGGAGAGGGGATGGAAGTCCGCATGGTGGCCACTTCATCCCTGTGTGTACATGGGAACCTGTCTTTAAGCACTGAAATAATTTGTGGCACAGATAACTAGTGCCCATTTACCAAACTCCCAGCTGTGGCTCTTGAAGGTGACAATTGCTTCATTCAGGAGACAGGAGTCCCCAAATGTACACCTGACAGAGACGAGCCTTCAACCCTGCAGGAAAATAACCAGGAGCTCAGCGTCAGAGTTTCAAACTCTTCCTAGCACAAATGGCTCCATGTTCCCCATCAGCCATACTAAGGGGCTTGGGTTCTGGTGCAGGGTCCAGTGATCCCTGCATGCTGTTGGGTTTGCACTCTGTAGCTACTGACCTGACAGAGCTGGGAGGGTAGAACCACAAACACTGGTTCTCCACTTGGGGGCATCTTGCCCATGAGACTCTCAGAAATGATCATTTCATTCTGCACAGCTCGTGGGCTGCAAGGTTCTGTTTGTTTAGTCATGCAGCACACAATTCCCCTTGGCTGTCACATTCAATATTTCACTGCCAATTTTTTGTTGGTTAGGGTAAATATTTGGACTGGCTCAAACAGCCACTGGAAGACTTGGGGACTGAAAAAATAAAAGGAGCACCCCCTGGGGCACACCACAGAGCAGCCCCACGCTGTCTCCTGGAAGATTCTGCACACTCCCCGCGTGGGGATTGCTATCCAGCTGCTGAAGATCAAAGAGTTAGAGCAGATTCTGTTAGCTACGATGCCTGTGGGAAAAGCCCTGAATGCAAAGCAGAGCCCACCATGAAGGGTCTGAACAGGAAGGAGAAGCCCTAACCAGCTGCCTAAATGTTCTGAGAGTTCCCACAGTGAGTCTCAGTCAGGGAGGATTTTGTTTTATCTACATTTTCCTTTTTTCTGAAAACGTATAACAAGGCTGTTATAAAGACTCATCTGAGTGCATAAAGCATAGCAACCCCCTCTCCTACCCATCTGCAGCTTCTCCTGTGGCAATCAGACCTTCCCGTGCTAGATTGACTTTGTCCCTGGACGGAAGAACCCATTTCCTTGGTCTAACTATGTAATCCTTACCTTGCCAGCCCAAGCCAGGTACATTGCATGGCATTTCACAGCTAAACAGTAATGCTGCCTGTTCTATTTAAGCATGTAGCTGTGCTGGCACGTTAGCTCAGTTGGTTAGAGCACAGTGTTGTAACACCAAGGTCAAGGGCTCGGATCCCCATACTAGCGAGCCACCAAAAGAGAAAAAAAATGTAGCTATTGTCACTGTTTCTGTCCCCTCCACAGAGTCAGTACCAAACAGATGCACCCTGCCAGAGCTCTCTGTCTCTCTCTGAGGCTTCCAACCCCTAGAATGGGGTCATCTCTGGTGGACACTAGACTGGACATGGAAGAGCGTGGCTGACACTGGGGACCAAAAGCAATGCTTCTTGAAGTGAAGGGCAGCAGCAGTCTGTTAAACATGCTGTCCCTGGGCCCAGCGTGAGCTTTCCTCCACCTCTGGGCCCTGCTGGGTGGCTCTCAGCCCTGACACCTCTTAACTGTGGGGCCTCCACCTTAGTCCTCGCCGAGACTATGACTAATTTAGAAGCAGTAATTCATAGGGAACTATTAGAAGAGTGCCTAGCATGCAGTAAACACTCAATCCTTGCAATATTTTAAGCAAATACCCTGAATTCAAAATTTGAGAATCACTACCCTCAGAACACAGAACACATTGTGATGGTATTCTGTGAGTCTTTTGGAAATAATCCAGGGAAAGTACACTTTGGCAAAAGAAAAAAATAGGAATTGACATCATATTTTATTTCCCTCCATGAGATCAGCTTACACATGCACCATTTCTGACTTACCTAGTGAAATACTTCATGCAAGAATAGGATGCGGGGCCGTCTCCCTGTGTAATGACTGCTCTGAGGACGAACAGCCTCCCTGGGAAAAATCCGATAAGTTGGAGCTCTGGGAGAAACCAGGGAGGCTCCATCTCTCTCCATGCCAAGATCTGAGGTGGATGAATTACTTTGTGAGTCAGGTGCAGGGTACTTCGGGTATCTCCACTCCGTGAGTTTCTAGAACAATCATTGGATAAACGGCATGACTTGGGCCATGACCTACGTTAACAAGGAGCCTTCCAGGCTGGCATATTTATTCTCCTCCTCACTGCATCCAGGTACAGAAGAAATCGATTTCCCTTCAGAAATAGGGAGTCAGGAATGATTTAATCACTGCCACAGTCAGTTCCAAAAAGCTTTTTTTTTTTTTTTGGATGAAAAACCATTCACTATGCCTCGGCTCAAGGTGTGTGGGCAGTGAGCTAGCTGCTGGCATCTGAGCCCAGCTTTGCAGGTCCCTGTTCTTCCTTCTCCTGGGGTATTTGTTTTCCTTAAAACTTCCTGAAGCTTCTCCATCAGCTGTGAACTGTCATGGCCAGATTCAGCCCACACACCATTGGGGCTCAGGGAGAGAGTCCTGTGCACCCGGATGGGAGCTCGCTCTGCTTTGGGAAGCTCTCCCCACTGCTGTGTGTGGCAAGAATGTTTCTGAGAAGCCCCTTCAACAGACGTCAAAGCAGTTCTCATCCCTGTGGGAAGACTGGGTTTTGTCACCAGATCCACCCCTTGCCCAGTCCCCAAGAAGTGGAGATTGTGTGTGTGATTTTGAGCCAGGCAGCTGCATATAGAGAGAGCAGAGGATTGATCAGAACAAGCCACACAAGGCACGGATGCCCCTGTAGACATTTGGGGATGTCTACACAAACAGCACCTCCCTTTTCTGCCGTCCATGAGAGCCCTCCTGAGACTGCTGGAGAGATCCCTCAGCAGTACTTGTTATCTGTAGGAGGGCCAGGCTAGCCTGCCACTGGGGTGTGAAGAGATGTTTCTGTATTTTCTAATCATTTGATTCCCCTGAATAAATGAAGCATTAACTGACAGTTGGGGACACAAGGTGCTGAACAGTTTGCACAGAGGTCATCTGGGGGAGTGTGCAAGATCAGAAGCCCTTAGTGTGCAGGCTGAATCAGTGAGAGAGAGCACCAGCCTGGAAGGTTGGAAACCAGAGCATTAGTGGAAGTTCTGAATGTTTTCTAGAACATACTAAGCTTCCTTCAGCCTAGGTGAGAAGCCTGTGACATCTCTGCACCTGGGCATAAGCGGTACCAAATGGACTTTTTTGCTGTGCTCCCTGTATTTGCTCTGTCTCTCCAACCAGACTCTAAACTCCTTGAGGGCCGGGCTTGTGTTGTTCGTCCCTGTATCCCTAACACCTGGTGTGAAGCCTGGAACGCGGCAGACTGTCCATGGGGGGCGGGGGCTGCGCATGTGTGTGCTTGTGTGTGTCTGAGTGTGTGTGTGTGTGTGTGTGTGTGTGTGTGTAACAGAGTGTTAACATGAATTTCAGCCTGTGACACCAAGAAAACAGTTGCTCTCATATTCCGAAGAGTTGCTAACCTGCGTGTGGAGCTTACAAACACCCCTCTTGAAAACCAGTTGCATGACTCAACCCACATATAGCATCTGAATCAGCCAGGAGACTAAAGGTTGGAAGAGGGTTTCTGGACAGAATGTAGTGGGAATGAGCCCACTTTAAAGGGGAGGTGAGAATGCCCCTTACCTCTAGCCTAGGGAACAGACCAGAACCACTCAGCCTGGGACGTACCCCACGACTTGAGTCTCTGAGTGGTCCTGGGAAGCACCTCCAGTGGATCCTGACACTTGGAAATACCAAGGTCAGGGGCTGATTGAACATCTGAGTCCATGGAGGTGGGAGCTGTGGATGGGGATGTAACTGGCTCTCAGGGTTTTGGAGGGCTAAGGGTGCTGAGTGTTGCTTGGGGACCAAGCAAGAGAGAGAGTTGGCATGGGGCTGGTTTTACAAAGCTGCCCCAAGGGGTGAACAGACCCCAGCAGAGAAGCCAAAAGAATAGCCCAAGCCTGGAGCTGAGAAAGCAGTAATGAGCAGGAGGGGTGTGCGTGGCCCCATCTTAAGAAACACAGGTGGGATGTCAGTGATTGGGGAAGCAGCGGGGAGTCTTCAACAAACCCACAAAAGTGTCCACAGGAAGAAAGCCAGGTTCGAGTCCTCAGGGAACAGAATGAAGTTAATTCTCTCTGTCACTTTGTCCTTCCCCTGTCTCCACCCTGGATGGTTTGGGAGCCTGGCTAGCGAGTTGGGGAGGTCAAAGCACAAGGTGGAGAGAGAGAGGAGAAGCCAACCATGCCTCTGCCCCACCCTGCAATGACCTGACCCGGGGAAGGGCAAAAGACACACTCAGCCAGACTCAGAGTTTCGACCACTCATGGGACAGGGCACTTTAATTATTGTTACTCCAGAGTGGCCAAAAGAGCCATGGGGTCACCCCAGGTTTCCATCCAGGACAGGGGAAGAGCTAGCCACACTTAATATGCTGGAAGGGACAGTGGGCACAGTTGCTTTGTGATGATTTTTCTGTCCCTTGAGCTTACTCAGCAGCATGGTTCCAGGTAAAGGAATGTTGAAATGACATCTAGCTCACTTCCAGTTCCAAAGCTCAGTGATACTTTTTGGTAGCTGTCTGCTGGACACGGATCACCCATTCCAAAACCTGAATTCCAAAATCTCAAGGCCTTCCCACCTGTCCTACTGCACCCGCAGTTTCTCTGGACGTGTAAGACAACCGCAGGTCAGCTGCCAGTCAATGTGCGGTCCTCTCTGGCCCCACACCCAATCCAAAGACCTGCGGGAGCCTCTCATGAGTTCAGGATACGGTTCATCTTCCCCAGAGAATTCAGGAAGAATGAAGTTTTCCTAGTTTTCAAATAGTTATAGTCCTTCAGAGGTCCCAAATCCCAGGACCATGGGAGCAGGGATCTGAGCTCACCCTGGGCCTTTTCCTAAAGGTTTCCAAGTGAACACTCTGCCAAAGAGGGAGGATGAGGAGTCTGTAGTCCCAGCCCCCACGTGGCACCCGCAGTCTGCAGAGGATGCAAGGATTGGTCCTGCCCCTTCCCCCAGCCTGGCCTTGGTGCTCGCCCAGCACCACCGAGCTCCATTTCCTCATTTCGTCTGTTGTTCTTAATCAGGGCTGCACAGCAGGATAACCCGTGGAGCTTTTCTAAAATGATGTCCATGCTTGGAGCCCACCCAAGGGGACAAGGTTCAGTTGGTCGGTGGGGAGGCCCCAGCATCTGCCTTCTTGGAAGCCCCATTGAGGATTCTCCCATGCGCTCCTGCTTGAGTGCCGCAGCATGAGATGACATGTCTGATCCAAGCTGACAGTCATTTAGATCCAAGGTTTAGTCTTGCATTTCATTATCTCCACTCCCAGACACCCTTAAAGACTCCAGGGGAAAGAGAAGGGTAAAGCGACAGGACCTGCAAGTGACGGAGACCCCTTGCTTCCCCTAAATCCAGGCAGCACAGCCTGTGGTCATTCATCAAGGGACATGGGATCAGGTGTGAAGTGTAGCATTTACAGGGGTGGACTCTGCAGTGGTAACTGCAACTCGGGGAAGCAATGTAACCTCTCTGTGCCTCAGTCTCTTTATTTGTAGATGGGGAGTAATAGTACCAGCCTCATGGGATTGGGACTGTAGTCAGGGGCGAGTTGATGTGTGCAGAGCATTCACGGAGGCACCTGTTGCGTCATGCAGCCGGCACCCTGTAAGTGCTGGCTGTGACTGTGCTTATCTTGTCATCACCGTCCTTCCCCAGAGGCTCACTCTGGCCAGCGATGCAGAAATGCAGGTACAGAGACGTGTCCTTGCCTTGCAAGGTGAACCCCTTCTCCTTCAGGTTGGGGAAGTCGGTGGAGTTTTTACCACTTGTATAAAACCGACATTTTGTCTAAAACAGGCTCCTAGAGGGTATGTCTTCCCTGTTATCTGACTCACCGAGCAGAGTCAGCTTTACTGGGACCTGGTCTTGGCAATCCCACATGCCACAGGTTGTCCAACACAGGTGTGAATGTTCACACAACCAACTTTGCAGGGAGAGAACATGCAGATCTGTGCAACAAGCCGGCTCAAGCACATCGAGAGTGGATAGGAAGGAAAATCTGGTCCTATTGTTAATGTATTTTGTAGACATATGGAAGCGGTGGTGGAAGGCATTACAGGGTGGCCGGCCCATAAAAGAACGTGCCACGAGTCTAGCTTTCCCTCAAAGCTGTTATGAACCGTGACAGGGTGGCCATGGTCCTGATGTGTTTGTTGTGAGACCTCGTGGGTGAAGAACGGTTCCTGGGAGAGGCCATCAGACCTTGAAGTTATAATGCTATCCAATGTCACTCCCTGCCCAGTGATTCATCGGCTGCTGAGAGAGCAGAGCTCACCCATGGTCCTCACATGGAGCGGCTTCCCTCGCCCTGCCAGGCACACGGGAAGCACCAGCCCCCAGCACTCTTTCCTCCATTCAGAGGTCACCATCCTGCCTAGCAGACTCTCCTCATGTCTTTGGGCGGAGGGGACGTTTCCCATGCTGCACTGTGTCCACGGTGGCACTGGCCACTCTGATTGTGTTAGGGCCACATCAGGACCCGAGGCACCTTGCCCCTGGGGAGGCAGGTCCTCCACACCTAGGACCTGCCCCATGCCCAGCTAAAAACCCTTCCTTTCTGAAACTTTCATTCAATTTAAAGGTGTCTCTCTGTGTTGGGAAAACTATGGAAACACCTTGAAATTGTGTTTACAAGACACTGCAATTTCACTCTTATCTGTGGATGGGGAACTGTGACCCTCTGTCTGTGTAAGAACGAGAAGACAGCCTGAATAAGTATTGCTGGTGTCTAATACGATATGAGTAATGAGCTGAGGACTTCCACTGGTTCTTCCTGGTGTGACTGAAGGAGCTTCACAAGGTTCACCTGCTCCTTTGGGCAACACTACGGAGAAAAACTCATTAAGACTCCCATCCCATAACAAGTTATTTTAGGACAATATAGTAGTTTGGGAAATCATTTTGTTTTCCTTCAGTTATTTGAAGGACCCTTTTTCCTAAGCCAGACTCTGTGGTCTCTTGCGCTTGCCTAAGGTAGAAATGACAGAAGGTTTAACGCAGAGCACACGTCCTATCAACTGGTGGTGGCAGTGGGAACCTGCATCCAGCTGATTAGAAGCCTTCACCTGTGATCAATGGCTGGGATTGGAATTGGCCAGGGGCTGGGATGGAGCAGATGGAGTGGGGTATTTGGGGGATCTCTTTACGAATCTTAGCATAAACAAATACTTGCATTTGGAGTATTTCTGTTAAAAGCTTTCCTAGAACTCAGCTCTTCCTTTTCTCCTGGGCAGGAATTGTACCACCAGTCCTACGAATGCGTCTGTGTCATGTTTGCCTCCATTCCGGATTTCAAAGAATTTTATACGGAATCAGATGTGAATAAGGAAGGCTTGGAATGCCTTCGGCTCTTGAACGAGATCATCGCCGACTTTGATGACGTAGGTACCGAGAGCTACCTTGAAGGGCAGGGGTGCCGCCAGTCCCACACTTCAAGATTCCTGCGCATCTGAAGTTAGTTCAGTATAGTGACACGTGTTAGAACTTGTCCTTTGGGGCCAGCCCGGTGGCGCACTGCTACGGTGCGCCGCTTGGGAGCGCGGCAGCGCTCCTGCTGAGGGTTCGGATCCCACATACAGACCGGTTCCCGCTCACTGGCTGAGTGAGGTGTGGGCGCAGCACCGAGGGTTGCGATCTGTTGCCGGACACGAAAAAAAAAAAAAAGAACTTGTCCTTTAGTGTACTTTCTGGTGGCAGGCATTAAAGCGTTTTGCTCTATTTATGTCCCTGACTAATTTGGGAGAGACATGTACATTGTATTTTTGAAGCTGATGTGACTGGTAGAAACAGCTACCAAAATCTGTTAAGTAGAATATGTATCCAGTGTGCTAGTGAATTCTCTAAAAGGGCTTGAATCCAGGGAAAGTGCGTGGTTATCCCTTTATACATGGAAAGGTAATGAATATGTTTATTACAGTAGATTATCGGCCATATGTTTATTACAGTGGATTATCGGCATGTCTGTGCCTACTTTGTCAAATATCAACTTGAACTATGCATGGGTGATGCACTTTATTATTGAAAAAGCAATATATATGTGAGATAATACATCATGTTTTAGAAAGGACAAAGTATATGTTTTAGAATTTG